TATAGGTAAAAGCCCTTATGATCAACATGATTACCGGCTAAGGTTAGAATGAAAACGATCTTAAATTACAAGGGTTATAAAAACAAATAACATAGAACTCATATTTAGAGGGATAAATACCATTACGGATTTTCGCCTTTAAAATAGGAAAAATAATACATTCTTATTTAATTAGTATAAGCTAATGTGTGCACAGTTAAGCAGTTACGTCAATTTTGTGTAATATGGAATTTGGTTTTCTCTTTTATACCTCAAACATTCGTGTTTATGGAAGACATATTTCCAAGTCTTATATTTATCTACAGACTACTTAACAGTACACATTAAGAAGATTGATCGTTTTAACAATTAGCACGAAAATTATAACTCTATGTAATAAATTCAACATCATTAAGCCAACATTTCTAAAACACTGTAAGTAAGAAAAAGTTTAGATTTAAACAAGTAATATAAAGTCTGACGTGTAATGGAAAAAGATTAATTAAGCAAATTGCCACTATAGGTTTTGCATCGTTTTCATATGCTTGTGCATGCTTCTATACTGCCATTTTAAATCTGTATTTTATTTTCAGAAAATAAATCATAGCTATATATATACGTGTATTATTGCTAAAGTGATTTTACAGATCCTTAGGTTCTAATGACGCATAAATTTCCAGTTAAATGTTAAAAGAGAAAGGTTTTAATGACAGGATATATTATTAGAAAATAATGCTTTGCATTTCACATAAAAAATCAGCACCCGTATTGGCTAGTTTAGTAATAAATGATAACTGTACATATTGAACTAGTTCTTATACATTGTAGTCTACTGGAAAAATGTAAGGTTTAACCAACCGATATAACGTTATTCGTGTTCCTTAAATCATTCACAAAAAGTCATTCAGATAAGCTTAATAAAATCAAACAATCCTACAGTTAAAAAATATCCAGACATATCTCTAGATGTCTTTGATCGTTATTTCCCCAGACATTCCTAATCTTATGCAAATACTTCGTAAAATATATTTCCCCATTTTCATATTTATTAACTTTTTTTTTCTGTGTGTTCAGCCATTAAGCAATATTCTGTCAGTTCATCCAGATTGATATGCACATGCATACGTAATCACTATCAATTCTAAAATTTAAACACATTGTTAGAATGTTGAATGTTGATTTAAATACTAAAACCTTCTTTACCGTTAAAACTTGCATACTGGAGAATGATTGCGCCAGTGATGTTGTTTGTCATTAAGCACAAAGCTACTCTGCCCACCACGGGTATCAAAACCCCGTTCCTAGCGATATAAGTCCGCAGATTTACCGCTGTGCTACTGGGGGGCACACTACAGTTGCATTAATATCATTTCAGCCCAAAACAGATTTTTTAAACGTTGTAAGCTGTTAGTCAATCATGAATTCAACGTGTAGTGGGATAAGTACGTTACGTGTAAAATATGTAATGTCCTCCATACTTTGAATAATCAAGATTAATACTTGTTTTCTATCTAAATGAAGAATAACAATTCGGCGGTTTCTTTATAAATTTGAACAGGTAACCTAGCTTTCCAGTTAATAATAGCTATAAAGACTGCGAGTGCTGCTCATTGGTTTCCTCCTTTTGGTCAGCAGTTCTAAATTAGGGATGACTATGCTTAAATCCTGGCCTGGCTGTTAACTCATATGTCGCATAAAGGGTCGTTCAGGTTGAAAATATTAACCAAATCATAACGAATATCTGATGGTTAGGACGCTCGACTTGCAGCAAACAGGTTGCGGGACCGAAACCTATCACTGAACATGCTCGTCTTTTCAGCATGTAGGGCGTTACAATATTACGGTCAATTCTACTATTCATTGGTAAAAAGAAGTACAAGAGTTGGCGGTGGGTGGTATTGATTAACTACCTTCCTTCTAGTTTACCACTCCAAAATTAGGGACAGCTGGCGTAGATGATCCTCGAGTAGCTTTGCACGAAATTCAACAAAGAAAAAAATAACCGAACAAAATATATTGGTTTGGATGAAAGAAAGAATTCACTTAAAATTACAATGCTGTCCGTCTTAACGTGCAGAATACGCTGAATCGCGTTTTCTTAAAGTCCAACTAAACATCTTCATTTTTATTATATACTTGAGAAGTTGTCAAATAGCTAAAAATGATGACTTACGAAGTTATATATACTTATTTAGACAAATGGACTGTTGGTTAGGACAGTATGTCACATGAATGAGGGGGTGACAGGTAATTTGTTCTGAGAGGTACCATACACTTAATACTTATTTCTATCCCAATAAACTAACATGGTGCCGGATAAACATGCTTGAACTGACTTTACTTATCCAGGACTTGAATAAAAGCTTGACAGTGATAAGATTATTACAAGTGAGGTCGTTGGACACTTGTGTCCGAGCTGAGTTGAATAAATTCATACCCATTTTTACTTTGCGAAATTGTTATTTGGTTGTTAACGAAATATTTTGATTTATTTAAATATAGAACAAACAAAAACCTATTTGTTGCACGTGTGGTAGTATTATTTCTTCAAACTATTGTCTCTGTACGAAATATACTATATTTATCACAGGAACACATTTAGGTCACTAACAGGTGTAAAGCTTTACTCTCCTCATTGTACAAAATTTTCTAATAACCCTCGTATGATACATCGACGGCACCGACACGCGGAGCGAGATTTTTTCTCGCGGTAACGGGATACGAACAGTAGACCCGCCTATCCATAGTTCAAATCGATAACCTCTAGTCACGCACACGAGACAAAAAGCAAAAGTATGTTTGTTTGTTTTTGAATTTTGCGCAAAGCTACACGAGCGTTATCTGCGCTA